ATCTAAAAAATTTTTTCAAAAGAAAATTAGCGGAATTTGAAAATTTTAAGGAGACACTATTTAAAATTACTATATAAATATATGCATATAGCAAAAATATGTAGTACCTATGTATAGCAAGGGCAAGGGCAAGGGCACGTGCCCCTTCTCGGCCTTAATTAGCTCTGCCCTAACCTGATTGAACCCCTTTTTAAATATTTTATATTTTATTATTATTATTATGTTTTGTCTTGAGAGACAATTTAAACATTTATTTTATTTTTCTTGACAAGAAATTAACTGTTGAAAATTTGTCATTTTTATTTTCTTTATTTATTTATTTTAATTTTAAATTTTAAATTTTCTTAAATGACCAACTTATAGACCAACGGCCACGAACAGGCCACTTGTAGGACCTAGGCCCAGAAAAATGAGGCTGGTCTAAAGATGGGCTAGCTGGAAAAATGCCCCACTATTTTAGCTCGATCAGGTCGGGTAAAAAGGTCGCAGGCCTTTTTAGATTTTCAAAACAAAGAGTGATCTCTTGAACTAAAACCTACTTGCAAAACTCAAAAGCCAAAATTAGAATTCTTGCACATTGATTCTCTATTTGGTTCGGTTCTGAAATGAATTAGAATAAAATTGTATAAATATATTAGATAATCGGTTCAATTCAATGGTTTCGAACTTTGAGATATATATATATATATATATTGGTATGTATATATGTACACATATGCATACAAATGGAATTAAAAACAAAAATTTTGAAATTAATATAGAATGATATTATGATGGTGTGTTATGAGGTAGCCACATAGTAAAGTGGCTCATTGTAAGAAAATTGGCTCAAAATATCATAAAATAAAATTATATGAGATGATAATTTAATTTGGTGAAAAGAAAGAGAATGTAAAAATTTTGATTGATTGGTGAGATTTATTGTAAATGAATTTTGAAACAAAATTTTGATTATATACTGCTCATACGGCTGTCTTTTTAACAATTAGATGCACATCAATATTTTTACACATGATTACAATAAAAAGACTCTTAAATTGTTATATGATCATGAAAAATAGAAACACAAAAGGAGGTTTTTTTTTTTGTTTTTTTTATTTTTTTGGCAAGCAAAAAAACATATTTATTGATTAGAATCACAAACTATATCCAAATGAGCTTTATGCAAAACAAACTTTGGGAAATTATCATCCCATAAATATGAACTTTTCTCTTGTAAAGCATAAGCAGCAGCTGCATGGGCAACCTCATTCCCTGCTCTAAGCGTATACACCAAATCAAAATCAGGGTGATGATGAAACCATTCATGGATATCTTCTACTAGAGGGATAAGTAAAAGAGATGAAAACCCATCCAACATCCCAACTTTAACAATGACTTCTGCATCAATCTCAAACACAAAAGGAGATTAGGAGATCCTAAAGAAAATAAAAAATGAATTAATTTACGAGGATTTAGATTGACATTTAAGCTATCCGAAGTTGAATTCGTTGCAGATTGACACGTGATATTTAAAATCTATCTACTGCTTGTGTTAAACCACGTCAACTAATTTAAAGAAAGTTTTAAAACTGCACCGTTTTGATATAAGGAAATTTATCAAAGTTTGAAAACTACATCGTTTTGAAATAAGAAAAATTCACCTTATGTTTCTCTCTCTCCCATCTTTTCCAAAAAAAGGTAAAATGAATTTTCTTTCCCACTATTTTATTCTTTCGATTGTGAATTTATATACATTAAATACTTTAGGGGTTGATATAAAAATATATATGATCATGTTTCTTTGTTTGGTTTGATTGAAATTTTGTAAACACTTCATGTTTTAGGTTTTAGGGTTGACATAAGAGCAATTGCTTGATTATTGTCCTTATTTGTTTGGGTGGAAGCCAGTAAAAAATATGTGATATACACACACAGATATAAATTGTGGGAAAGAACATTTATATTTGGCGCAAAATGTTTCCCCAATTTTGTGAATGAGCAAGAGGAGAGAGAGGAAGCGATCTTTTTTCAGAAAAGATGAGGGAGAGAGGTATGGTGAATTTTCCTTATCTCAAAACGGTTTTCAAACTTTGATAAATTTTCTTTATCTCAATACGGTACCGTTTTCAAATTTGGTAAATTTTTCTTATCTCAAAACGGTGCAGTTTTCAAACTTTTTTTTAATTAGTTGACGTGATTTAACACAATTAAACAATAGATAAATTTTAAATGTCACGTGTTAATCTATTGCAAATTCAATTTAGAATAAGTTGGAGAAGGTTTAATTTAGAGGATTCAAGTTCCATTTACGAAGTTCAAAGGGAAAAAAACAAAAACAAAAAAAGCCCCATTTACGAAGTAATATATTTTCTTGTAGTTACACTCTGCCTTCAAATATTTTTTTTCTTCATTTATTAAAAAAAATCCTTGTAAGTAATTCATACGTCTACTAGCTTTTATTTTGACAAAATATAAAGAATATATCAGTAGACAACTTTATGTGGGGTCACACTTCACACACATTTGTGTCATTATATATAAAAATATATATATTAATTGGTTAAAGCCAAGCACAATATTTAATCCTAATTAAATATAGGCATAAATAAATCGTACGTGTATTAAATTTAATATAATAGAATTATATAACATAAATACACATTAAAGTAAAAAATTGTTTTTCTGGTTTAAAAAATTTGACATAATAAGAAAACATGAAAAAAAAATAATAAGAAAAAAAAAAAAACTTAGAATATTTTAAATGGTAGTTTCTTTAAAATGATAGTTTTGTGTAATTTTAGAAGGAGAAAGCATTTAAGGTAGTTTCTTTATATGATAGTTTTGTATAATATTAAAAAGGGATAAAGGTTAGAGTTTCAAAGTATACAAAAGACGTACGAATTTTTGTTGAAAGATAAGAGTTCCAAGCATTCGCGACAATTTTGGAGAAGGTATCTTAAATCTTTACTCATATTCTATTTATTTAATTATTATATTGCTCGTCCTCGCATTATATATATATTTGTTTTTTGTTTTTTTTTAAATTTTTATTGAATACTCAGCGATTTAGGTTGCTTTAAGATCAAAGACTTGATAGAACAGAAGGTAGGCAGAGGATTGGTGTATTAGCTTAGTATGAATTATTGTTCATCTTTTTATGCTTTGGATGTTTCAGAATTCTTGCTTACTGTTGTTAGAATTTTGGAAATAAATTTACAGAATTTTATAATTATGTTTGTGACCTTATCCATATTGTACTTGTATTTTTTGCCTATCTTGTTTTGTTAAATTGTTCAGTATTTACTCTCAAAAATAATATAATTGTTTAAAAGCATCTTTTATTTTAGCCTCTTCTCTTTCCTTTCAAGTATCTATCCGCATTGGTGATGAAGACAAGGAAAAAGAGGAACACAAAGAGGTGCAGAGATAATAAAAATCTCAAAGACCTAGTTTTTACTGTTCGTAGATTTTCTTTTAATTTTTTGAAAACCGGTGGATATTTTAAAAATAATAAAGTATAATATAAATTAGCGGAATTGTGAGAAGAAATTCTTACACCGTTTTTAGTTGTTAATTAATGTCGCTTATGTTTTTGTAGTCTTATGTTTAATTTTTAAATTGTTTATCCTGTAAAGATTTGAACCCGAAGAGGACCTTGGTTACTTTTGTAATTTTACATAAGAGACGTTCTGTTTTTCAAAAATTGAAAATTGGAAACAAAAAACTAAAACTGTTTTTTAAAAAAATTCAGTTATAATGGTCGTTATTTTTTAAAAATCTTTTAGGGTTCAGTTTTCTTAAAACTGTTTTTTAAAAATTCTTCAAATTCTTTTATAAGAAGGTCTGTGTTTTTCGTTTTAAATTTTTTGAAAATTCTGTTTTCAGATGAAAACTAAATTTTTTAAAAATTCAGTTATAAAAATATAAAAAATTTATAAAAACAGAGCTTGGTTTAGTTTTCTGAAAATTCTTTTAAGGTCTGTGTTTTTCGTTTCGTTCAGATTTTTGAAAACTGTAGTTTTAAGATGAAAACTAATTTTTTTAAAAAATTCAGTTATAAAAATAAATTTTTTTTTTTTTTTTTTAAATTCAGTTATAAAAACAGAACTTGGTTCAATTTTCGAAAAACTGTTTTTTGAAATTTTTTTTATAAAATGTTTGTTTTTAAAATTGAGTTATAAAAACAGTTTTTTTTTTTTAAAAATTCTTTTATAAAAAGGTTTGTTTTTTGTTTGGTTCAGTTTTTTGAAAGTTATTTTTTTTTTTAAATTCAGTTATAAAAATATCCGTTTTCAGGAAACGGGAACGGTATTTATTGGTCTTTTTTATCTGAAAACTTTATTCTAATAAAAACTAAGCATGCAAATTATGTGTTACTATAATATCTTGTTAGGATTGTTTTAGTGTTTACCCTCAAAATAATAATAATTATTGTTTCCAATTATTCAATTTTGATTAGGAAAGTGCCAATTGCCCTAAAAAAAAAAAGACCACTCATATTTAATAACCTTTTAAGTGTTTTTTATTTCATTCTTTGTCTCTCCTCTCTCTACTCAGAAGAGGAGGCATTGGCGATTAAGATTAAGGAAGGAAAGGAACACAAAGAGAGGTATGGAGAGAATAAAAAGCTCAAAGACCTGTAAATAGTTTATTATTATTATTCATAGAATATATATATTTTTAATTTATTGAAAACCAATTTTTTATATTATGTTTAACGGGATTGTGATTGGAGTAATTTTGTATAGCCGTTGTTAATTAATGTGGGATTAGGTTTGTTTTAGGTTTATTAGGTATAATTTTGAAGTTGTGTGTAACTAGGATTCTGGAGTGTTTGGTTTGTATTGAGTCTTAATCTCTTATTATTGACGTGATTTACTATGCTTTAACTACCTCTGCTCTAAACCCCACCCTTCTTTTCCGTTTCTCTCTTTGATTTACCCTTCTCTCTTTGACGCTTCGTTCCCCCTCTCCTTTTCTTGGGTTTATAGTTTCGTTTGGAAGAGGAATGAAAACAGATGGAAGAACTTGGTAATTCAATGGAAAGGGTGTTAGAGAAACAGGGTGTTTGGACACCAGTAACACCACAAAAGTTCTATCTCTCTCGGCCGCCGGAGCCGATTTCCGGTGACAGGGCTGCCGGGAATTGGGTTCAGCCTGTGGTTTTCAATGCTGTGACTTCCATGGACACAAACAGAGGTTTGTACACTAGTGCATTGGCCGCCAAACAAGGTACAGTACCGGAAGAGGAGGGAATTGTGTGTGGGAATTCAAGCATAGATGGTCCGAAATTGTGTAATTGGGACGAGCTTACTTTTATGGAGCTAATGGTTCTGGCAAACAACACTCAACTAATTTCAGAATCTGCGTTTGATGATGGCGGCATTGCAAATAACAACAATCAAAGCTCATTGTTTGGAGATCATACTTACGCCAACCACCCACCAATACAAAAGGGTAAGTCATTTTTTTTTTTTTTTTTTTTTTTTTCTGAATCCCACCATGATTTAGTTTGAAGTTCAAAAGGACCAAATCAAATTATAATTATATATATATATATATATATATATATCTATTATAATTAGCTTTCATATAATAAAGTTAGATTTTCTCATTCATAGTATACAATAATTTTTATTTCTTCCTTTTTTTCTATGACTAAATTCTATTTATAGTTGACTGTTTGGGTATTGTATACTTTTTCATTATGTACCTTCTAGAATTGGTAACAGATAATTTCCAAAAAATCCCAAATAAAACTTGCCATACTCATATATACACACACATATATAACCGAATTGATCAAGCTTTCCAAATTGGTTTTGGTTTGGTTCATTTAATTTTTAATGACAATGATTTCAAATATTATTCCCTTTTGGAGTATGAAATTCATGCTAGTGTCTGAATGTTGTGTGTAGATGATAGAGCTGATCAAGAAGGAGGAAAGGATGAAATAGATAATAGAGCTGATCAAGAAGAAGGAAAGGATGAAATGCAGCGTGAAGGTGAGAACTCACAGTCCACTCCAACTCACAGAAAGAGACACCACAGTGATATAGACTCGAACAAAAAGTCAACACAGAGACCAAAAAGGAAAAAATATTGGCCTAAGATAGCAGTTGAAGGCAAAGCAAGAAAGGCCCCAAAATCTCATAAGCCAGCATCTTCAACTCCAACTCCTAAAACTCCAAAAACTCCAAAACAGCCAACACCAAAGCGTGCCACTTTGAAGAAGAGCAATAATGCAAGGAAGAAAAATCTCAAAGTATCTGTCACTCCTGGGAAAGAACATGCTAATCCTCTTGAACATTCCGCAAAGGAAGCCGCAATTGATCAGAATCCTCCTGAACATGATGCAAAGGAACCAGCAATTGATGATGCAAAGACTGCAGAAGCAGTTGATCAGAATCCTCTTCAACATGATGCAAAGATTGCAGAAGCTATTGATCAGAATCCTCTTGAACATTCTGCAAAGTGTGCAGAAGCAATTCATGCTCCAAAGTCATGCAGGCGAGTTCTCAATTTTATATTAGAAGCTCATGGGAGACAAAATAATGATTCGACAAAGAGAAATGTTATTACTGAACAGAATTCTCTACTAGTGTATCGTAGGGTATTCCAAGCCAACAAATGTGAAAGAAATAGCAAATTAATTGGACCAAATTTTCCAAGAATTTTCAAGAAAAGAAGGATGGAGATAGAAAAGTCTATATTGCATTGGGGTGAAGGAATTACTGTCCGAAGACGTGGTTTTGTAAAATTTTTACCAACACAATTTCAAAGAACACAAGCATTTAGTGATCCCGAATCTTTTTGGTGTATATTCTCGTTAATCCCAGCAGTAAAGTCTAAATATAAACAGAGAAGATCGCACAGGCTAAAAGGAATTGACAATATCCGAATGGAAGTACAGGATAATATTGTTGAAATTGGCAAAAATGAACAACCGGTGGAAGGACAGAATAATATGGTGACTTCTCATGAAAGCCCTGTGGATATTGTTCAGAGATTAGGGTTGGACACTCCAAGTTCACAGTCGGTCACTAGGTCAGAGGTTAAAAGTTCAGAAGTTCACCATTCTATGGTTCTAGTCCAGGGACCAGAGTCGGTCACTAGGTCAGAGGTTAAAAGTTCAGTGGTTCAAAGACCAGCTCCAAAGGTCACCCCTAAAAAGAAGAAGGTTCAGAGACTAGATTTGGTCACTACAAAAAGATTGATTCAGAGACTAGAGTTGGCCACTCCAACCCATACCGGGTTAGAGTATGGAAATAATATTGATGATATTACTCGAAGACTAAAGGATGTTTGTATCAATGATGAAGGATGCCGCCAACTTGTAGTTCATCATCAAAATGCACCATGCCGCCAACTTGTAGTTGATCATCAAAATGCACCATACCGCCAACTTGTAGTTCATCAGCAAAATGCACAATGCTGCCAACTTGTAGTTCATCAGCAAAACACACATCCTGAGCGTGAGCAGTCAGGAGCTCTAGTTCCGCGTGAGCAGTCGGGAGCTCTAGTTCCCCTTAAGAAACGCAAATCACAGCCCAAAGTTGATCTTGATGCAGAGTCAATGAGGGTATGGAAACTGCTGACAGATAATGATGGCTCTCATGAAGAAGAAGAGCATGACAAGGATAAGAAGAAATGGTGGGAAAAACAGAGAGAAGTATTTCGTGGACGGGTGGACTCATTTATTAACCGCTTGAATCATATCCAAGGTAATAAAGAAATGGAATGATTTGAAATACAGCTGCAATCATTTTTTTAAAATTTTTGTTATTGTTATTTATTTTTAGCTGGCTGAAATATCAAATATCCAATCAGAAAAGGAAAGTAATCCTAAATAGGAGTGTATGCTTCGCATGCACATTACTAACAGCAAATGAACTCTACGAACTCTACAGGGAATAGGAAGTTCTCACAATGGAAAGGTTCAGTTGTGGACTCGGTGGTAGGAGTTTTCCTGACTCAAAATGTGTCGGACCATCTTTCAAGGTAAACAAAACTTTCTAAGTTAATTTATACTAGCTAATTAATGTCAATAATATGGTCGGGGATGATTTTGTTACTGAGTTTATTTTTTTTACTCCAGTTCCGCTTTCATGAGTCTTGCTGCTCGATTTCCTCTTCGATCTACGAGTAATCACACAGTATGCAATCTACAAGAAGCAGCTGAGGAAACATGGAATGAAAATGGCAAGCAGTCACCTTCTCTAAGACAGAGCAAAGAGACTATAGGCACGACGAGACCAATTTCTGGTGAAGGAGAGGTTAACAAAGTTGTCAAAGATAAATCTGCAATTCAGAATTTTGATTCTTTAACCGGTGGAAATCTGTCAGCCACATTCATGCCCTCCAATAATGAAACTTCTTGTTGCAAACTTGACAAACACTCGTGTGATGGGACTGGAATTGATGATGGAAATCGGATGGAGAATCAAAAGAAAGGATTAAGCTTATCAGACAATGTATTTGACTTGGAAGGTGCATATGTATCAGGCCATTTGCCTGGTTCCAAAGTTCCCCTTGCCCCTTCTAATATGGAGATTGATTCTCCAGGGCTCTTGGGAGGCTTTGAAAACATAAATATGAAGGAGACGGGGGACACATATGCATCATTAGACAAGTGCCAATTGCCCGGTGAAAGTAGCTTCCAAACAGAAGTCGGGAAAGAAAAAATCTTACACTCTAGCAACAATCGTCAAGGAAACAATAAAATGATCTTGCAGCCTGAAACAACCTTGAGAACAAAGAAATCCAAGGTTGCGGAGAAGCAAGAAAACCCAATTAACTGGGATGATCTAAGGAAAACCTATTCCAGCAGTAGAGAACCTACTCCTACTGGTGATGCGATGGATTCATTGGACTGGGAGGCAGTCAGGAAAGCACCAGTTGAAGTGGTCGCTCAGACCATTTTGGACCGTGGAATGAACAATGTTCTTGCAGTTCGAATCAAGGTACACAATTCTGCATCAAGAAAATGAAAGTTTAAATGTGAAAATTGTTAATGGTAGCTGAGATTTGCTATTCAAAATTTTTTTTTGGCAGGAGTTTCTTGATCGAGTGGCTAGAGATCATGGAAGTCTCAACCTTGAGTGGCTAAGAAATGTACCATCACAGAAAGCAAAGTAAGCCAACTAAAGTTCAATATGTAATCACAGTTTTCATATACGAACATTAACAAATAGCTGAATATAACTAATATCTATTTTCTATCATTGCAAATTTATTATTATTATTATATTTATTTTCCAAATTAAACGTGGTGTAGGGATTACTTGTTGAGTATTGAAGGTCTGGGTTTGAAAAGCGTGGAGTGTATACGGCTTTTGTCACTTCGTCACCATGCCTTCCCAGTAAGATTATTATATTGAAAAAGATGATCACTTAATAGCTTCATAAAGTTTTTAACCTTACTCTTAACTGCTGCATGTTTGTGGTTTCATTAAGGTGGACACAAATGTCTGTCGGGTAGCAGTGCGTCTAGGCTGGGTCCCTCTGCAACCACTTCCCGGTGATTTACAGATACATCTCCTAGAGCAGTAAGTATTATATACCAATTGATCAACACCACTGGAATTTCCTATCAAATAAAAAATCTTGATGTTGTTCCTGTTTAGGTACCCTATGTTGGACGCGGTTCAAAAGTATCTATGGCCGCGGCTGTGCAAACTTGATCGACTAAAACTGTAATTCCTGAGTTTTACTAACAATAATAACTTGAAGGATCTGTTCGTACTCTTATAGTTTACTTAGATTAATATAACCACTAATCTTTTCTGTTGTTAACATGTGACCTATTTACAGATACGAACTACATTATCAGATGATTACTTTTGGGAAGGTAAGCTATCACTTTCCTTTAGAATTTGTTAACAAATCATAATTCTCTCAATTTAAATTATAGAAAGAAAACACTAATATTGGCCACATGTTCGAGATTATGCAGATTTTTTGCACAAAAAAAAATCCAAATTGCCATGCATGTCCAATGAGGGGAGAGTGCAAACACTTTGCGAGTGCATTTGCAAGGTTTGAATCATCTTTGCTGCTCAATTTTCTTAAATTGACACTAAATGCATAGGAACATAACTAAAATGGTAACTTATAATATTCTAAATGCAGTTCTAGGCTTGCCCTGCCAGGGCTACAGGAGACAGGTAGAGGAAATCCAGGGGTTCCAGATGCATATGCTCCAAACCCTGTTGTGGGCATTACACCAATAACGGGGTCCCTCCCCGAGGAGAACTTACCGGACTCAAGATACCAAAGCAATGATTGTGAACCTATCATTGAAATGCCAGATTCTCCAGGGCCTGTAGATACCGAAACACTTGAAAGGGACATTGGAGACATTGAAGATTTGTTCACGGAGTCCGATGACAAAATACCTACGGTCAACTTAAATGAAGAAGAGTTTAAAAGCAATTTAATGGACTATATAGAGAAGAACAATATTCCAATCTCAGAAGAAGATATGTCAAAAGCTTTGGTTCTTCTAAGTTCAGAAGCTGCTTCGATGCCTGCGCCTAAAATAATGAAGTATATTGCCCGATTAAAGACATTGCACAATGTGTAAGTAATTACTTTCCATCTTCTCTTCATAGAGTTAAGAAATTATTGTATAAACTTGTGCCCATAGGAAAACTTGGACAAGTTAAATAGAGTAGGGTTTTTTATTTATTTATTTATTTTTTCCCGGTAACTAATGGTTAAGAAGTTTTACATATTAATACTCCATATTTCATAGATGCAGCAGTGAATTAAACTCTCAGTATGGTGTGCTAATTGTTTTCCATTATAATGCAGCTATACGATTCCGGATGACCACGTCCTTTTGGAAGGGGTAAGATACCTCACCCAGTCACCACCATATTTCTATGGCTTATTTGCATTCGCATATTTTGTTTTTATCCACTTTTTGAATATTTTACTTCTACAGCTAGAGAAGCGGGATCCTGATGATCCAAGTCCGTACCTTCTTGCTGTATGGACACCAGGTACAAAATTAACAATGAAAACATGATATGGAAGTTAATAATAGTCCAATAATTATAAACCAGTCCCAAACTACAAAGAGCAAATGATGTTCAATTCAATATGTGGGCATGTTGGTGATGGTTTTCTAGTTCTTTAATTTTTAAATTTTAAATTTACACTAATTATAGGTACTCTCAAATTGCAGTAGATTCGATTTTTTAGCCAAATGAACAATCTATCTTTCTCTATTTTTTTTTAATAATATTCAAATTCATTTGGAATGTCTACTATTAGGAGAAAATGAAGATCCTTCCGAACCACCCAAACAATGTTACTCCATGGGACCAGAACAAGATTCTCAAACAGTTCCCGGAACAATTTTGGTGAGGAAAACGACCTACCTAAATATGCTGATTGTTGCTGCTGTAATTTAATATTCTAAACTACAATAGAGAGTTGACACACACCACAATGTATGACAGATACCATGTCGAACAGCAACAAGAGGGAGCTTTCCACTCAACGGAACATACTTTCAGGTTAATGAGGTAAAATCACTTTTAATAGTACGCTTTTACAAACTCTTTTATCGTTCACCGTGGTTTAGAATCATTAGAATTTCAGATTAGGGTGTATTACTGATATATATATATATATATATATATATATATATATTTCTGCAGGTGTTTGCTGATGATGAATCCACTCTAGAACCAATTGATGTTCCCAAAAAATGGTTAGAGGATCTAAACTTGCGACCTTTAGGTTGTGGAAATTCAGCTAGCGGTATATTGAAAGGTCAAAACATTACAACTTTTTGACTCATATAATCCTTGTTAATTATATGAAGTTATAGAAACTTGCTTACAAAATGCTATTTGTGTAATCCAGAATTTGGAGCGAGAACGGTTCAGGAGATCTTTGCGAAAGGTAAGAAACAAGAATTTACTATATTTAATAGCAATAATATTTACCATGGAAAAAGACTTGGAATTTATAAATCCAGTTGGGATTACTGTTAATAGAACACACAAAATATGTACACACTCATCCGCACAAACTGGCAAAAACCTCCTACAAGCAAATTGTTTATTTTAGTATTAATATATTTCTAATTAATTAGATCAAGCGTATTAGAGAATGATTGCATTAAGCAGAAAACTTTATCTCTGGATATCAAATCGAAAATTTCATATTTCTTTTAACAGTGATGAAAAATTGGTGAATACCCTTAAGGTTCAGCAGTTGAGGCCTATGCCTCAAAGTCTAAGCTCTACGTGAGCTGCAAATCTTAAGCACACACTACCGCTTTATGTCAAGAGCATGCACAAAAGAATAATATGGCTTTCAGTATCGGATTTGTTGTTGAATTTGTGTATTCTAATAAACTGCAGGATTTATTTGTGTGAGAGGATTCAACAGAAAGACTCGGTATCCCACACCAATTCCTCGTAAATTTCACATATCGGCATCTGAGGTAGCAAAGAGGAAGACAAAGAAAACAAGGAAATCAAGGAAAACAAGAGATAGTAGTACTGCTAATCCATAGTGTCTCACAAATGTTGTTCACATACTCTTTACTTGCTGTGACATATGATACGTAGTAAATTCACAACAGAGAGGGGCCTCATTGATTTACGTGTTTTATATATGGGGAAAAAAACATATAGATAGTTGAAGAAGGCATCCATGGGAGGGAGAGAGTACAGCGATTGCTTTTGGAAGACTGAAATGTTTTTGCTTTGCTTTGGTTTTGTGAAGTTGTTTCGTTTTTGAGATTCTTTTTATTCATTTATTTAGTGTCAGCTACACACTTCTTTTTAGCCTGAGTAATGATATTTTATTTGTTGGCCTTTAAAACTACTGTTGTTGGTGAGTTTTATATATATATTTAGAAGGCATTTAGTTAGGAAAACAAATAATTTAATTATGTAAATAAACAAATAATTCAACACAGACTTGCCAGAAAGAAGAAAGGTAAAGTTCACATGTTCATTGAACTATGATATTTGGGCCAGCCCATTCATTATGATCTCCATTGGCTACTAAGAAGTTTGTCATGTGTAAAATTATTATTTGATGTATTTGACCCATATTTTTAAATTTAGATTCAAAATTATATGGGTCATTATTAGAATTTCATGTTTAATTCTTCCACCCAAATGTTTGGGAACTATTTTTCCTTATCAATAATTATAATATTTACACTTTGTTTGAAGAATGAATAATCGTCATCTCTGATGGGACGGACTCACTATAAAGACCTAAAGGAAAGAAAGATAGAAGACAAATGTGTTTTTTGTTTTTCAAAACAAATCTTATCTTCCTCTTACACGTGAGAGAAAAGGAGAAAAAATATCACCTTTCAATTATGGAATAATATAATGGTCAAACCATGCAACTTCATAAGCACATATTTAAAGGTACACATAAATTGCCAAACGTCATTGTCTTAATCATGGGCCACCCAATTATTTTTGGCAGAGAGGCAAGCTTTGCAGTTGAGACCACAAGGCAGGTTAGATCGTTTAATGTGTGTGAATTTTCTGCTATAACTTGTTTTTCAACGTAATTAAATTTATTTTCAAAAGATAATATTGAAAACAAATTTAATTATTTTAAAATTTAACTCAATTTCAATTAATTTTGATGTGTTAAAAATATATTTAATTGTGTTGGACAGTGAACACACAACCTACGCAATGCACTGCAAAATGGATCAATAACTGTTTGCAAAACTATCATAAAAAAATAACGTTGTTGTACTTTCACTTGCAAGTTGCAACATCCCAAGTCCCGATCAAATGACATAAGTTCTTGAGTTCAGTAAACTACGGAACAATTAATTAAAGTAGACAATGGCAGTAAATTAGTAATACAAAACAATCCAGGGCCAACATTTAAGGGGTCCATTCCATGGACAAAAATAGTTGGAAACAAATACCGACATAGTTGGGAAAAATTGAGAAGTTTCACAATGTTCTTATTGCCGTCTGCTTGGTTGGCCAAGTATCTGACTTGACAGATAGGCGTTCGATTGTTGATCAAAAAATTTAAATTATTAAATAGTGTTGCTGCATACCATTACATTTATATTCATTTCACTTTATATTACGATCCGATGTAAGACACCTCTAACATATCTCCTATACTTTTCAAAGTGAGTTTGAATCTCTCATAGGATAGGTTGACAAAAGGGTGCGCAAATTTCTTACCAGCGAACAAAAAAAGTTTGAGGAGTAGGTTTCTTAAAGTAGTAGATAAATAATGAACAAAGTAATAGTATTCAAGATGAAGTGGCTCTTATTGGGTAATAGCTTCTTTATCTTCCTTATAACATAATTATAGATAATGTAGAGATTAATTTAATCACAGAAAAACTCAATGAGCATTATTTTTACTTTGATGTTCTCTTTGACCCTGCATTTTATATAGAAACGAAATTAATTAAGAACGCGGTTTTTCTGAGTGTTGGACCAGCGACAATGGGTGACCCTGCTCAACCCATTTCCAGTCAAAGTCTTCAAACGAGTCCTTTCAACTTTTTCTACTTGTACACAATTCTCGGGTCAAACTAAGGAGTGGATCACAACCTAGTTGGTCCCTCCTTCCAGAAACAGTATTAAACTGATCAAATTCATAAATAAATAGAGTTAAACTACTAAATTATGAATTTAGCAAAACAAACAATATAAAAAGGCAAATCAATTACTAATACATACATTTTACACGATGTGGCCTCATTACTGTTTATTGCTTATTTATGTTTTATATTAATCAGTCAATTTATTGTTTTGTGTTAAAAAAAAAAAAAGCATTTTCTATATATATATATATATATATATATATATATATATATATATATATATATATATTATTTGATGTAATAATAAAATTTAATACGAATGTAATTCAAATTATAAAATAAAATATTAATCTTGTTTTGAATTTTGTTTCCAGTGAATTATAGGGTGTCATGTGATTCATGTCATTAACTAAGGTATAATTTGATAAAATTAAAATGTATCAGTGATGACTGATGAGTATATAAGGCAACTAGTAAAATTTTGAGCTATGAATAAATAAGTAGGTTAAGAGAACAAATTAAATACTGAAAGTTTTAAATTCTAATTATAAACTAAGAATATTTTTTAAAAAATTTAGTTGTTCAGTAATAAATGAAGTATACTCTAATTTAATTTTGTGCTTGTGTGTGTATATATATATATATATACATTCTATTATCAAACACACTAATTGAAAAAAGATTTAATTTTTTAAGGCAAATGAATAAATTTATTAAGAATTAAATACTAATTAAGTAGATGATATAATATCTAGGATTAGTGATACTCACACTGAACCGAACACTTGCATGAATTCACTATTTATATCAAATATAATTACATGAACGACTCTATTTTTTTATAGGGAAAATTACATATAAATGGAGTCAAAGTTCCATATTTACTTAGAGACTGAGTCAAAGTTTCATATTTCTCTAAAATGGATTGCTGAGGTGGCACATGGTTTTTTACTGTTTAGAAAATTGTGGTGCCTAAAATGCCCTTCCCTAACAAAAAAGTAGTACCTTCAGTGCAAAAAAGTAGTACCTTCAGTTCAAAAAAGTAGTACCTTTGGAGAAAAAGTAGTACCTTCGCGGGTGTTTAAAAAACATGGTACCTAGACGTCAAAAAGTAGTACCTTCGATTCAAAAAAGTAGTACCTTCGAAGAAAAAGTAGTACCTTCGCGGAAGGGTATTTTAGGCATCACAATTTCTAAACAGTAAAAAACTATGTGCCACCTCAGCAATCCATTTTAGAGAAATATGGAACTTTGACTCAGCCTCTAAGTAAATATGGAACTTTGACTCCATTTATATGTAATTTTCCCTTTATTATATTTATGTATTATATAATTAATTAATTAAAAGAATATGTCTATTGAATCATTTTCCAACACGTAGAGATATAACAGTGTGGCACATACTTGGGGTACCGTAACCTCCGTCTCTGGAATGTTGGATTATTTATCAAGTTACTATTACAGTCAATCATGAAAACACGGGGTATTGTAGTCTTCCCAATGTACACGGTACACGTAGACCCACATATTTATATATATACATCCCAACTGAAAGAGGTATGGTTAGGACAAATGAAGGAAAAAAAGCAGCAAAGTTCACATCTCCTAATTTCTGGACTACTCCAGTCCATTCAATACAAGCTTTGGACACATTTCTCGTACATTGTTAAGTCACAAAATGTAAAACTCACTGCAATAACATGTAGTAACACTTATGCACATTATAACATAATTACACATAAAACTGAAGCCAACCAAAAATTCAACACATTTATATAATTTTTACATTGTCAGACTTAAAATTGTTTGAATTCCCGATTTAAAACTACATTATCAATATAAAGGTGATGCATTAGACACACAGACACCCACAGACAATTTTAACTACGAGAAAAAAAAGATATATATATATATATATATATATATATATATATATATTTAAAAAGGGTTAAAATTTAGTAATGAAAAAACAATGCTTGTAACCTGCGTTTCTTCTTCTTGCTCTGAAACACTTCAATGGTAGATAGAAGTAGAACTCCTGATTCTTGTTCCTATAAATTAAACTCTTCACATCTCACTTCGATCTTCGCTTGGTTGAAACCCTACTTGATTTCTGTCGACACAGTCGATTCAATGGCTCCAGAACCGAGTCTCTATATCTGTACGGCAGAACCTGGTTCCTCCCCCGCTTCGATCGCACCACCGGCGACACGTCCCCGATATCTCCGCACAGCTCCACCATCCAACAATGACTCCGCTTCGATCCACTGCTCGTCTCGGCGTCGTTCAATTGGTGGCTCGGTTTCTCCGACTCTGACTCGTTCTCTGCGCATTCGCCGGAGATCAATTTCGCTGCTTCGAGTAACATTTCTAAGCATCCCTCGTTTCTATGTTCTTGTTCCTTCTCAGTAACAAACTCTTCGTCAATTTCATCGTGATCTTCTTGTGTTTTGATCTCGCCGTCGCCGTCGCCGTCGCCGTTGATTTCTTCTGAAACTCCATTGTTGTCGATTTCAGAGCTTTGGAGCTCCGGATTCGTGATCTCTGAAATCTCCGTTGCCTCTTCATCGTTTTCATTTGCTTCAGTAGCAGGCAAATCGCTTCCGTAAAAATCCTCGACCTCCTTCGGATCACATTCACCTTCGGAGCTCTTCTCATGAACCACAGAGTCATCGACTGACGCCGCCGGCCAAATACCATTTCCAACAGCACAAGCAATATCTTCATCTGCTCCGACGAGTCTACTCGCCGGTGAGTCAGATTCCTCCGTCTCCGGCGGAGGACATAAGCTGACGTTCAAGTCGAAATGAAAGCCTCTGTTCCCGCAAAACAAAGCCCTAGCTAGGTTAACTTGATCTCCATTACAATTGACCTTCAGTTCCGAGTGATCAAATTGAGGATTCAAAGACGATTGATTTGAAGTTTCGCAGTGTGATTGAAAAGAGACTATTAACTGAATAATC